ATTCAACAATAATTTACGATTTATTCCTACAAGCAGATTTAACTATAAATGAATAAAGATTAAATTCTTCAAAAATTCGAGACTTAATTCTATACATGTAAGATTAAATTCTACAAGATATAAAGACAAAACTCTTCATGTAAGATTCAATTCTGCAATAAAAAAAAATACTACAAGAATTTAAGATAAAATTCTAGAAGAGTTTAAAATGAACTTCGACAAGAATTTAAAATTAAATTCGACAGAAATTTAAGCCTAAATTCTACAAGAATATAAGAATAAATCAAAAAAGAACTACGAATCAATTTCTGCAAGAATTTCTGATTTTATTCTTCAAGAATTTAAGGTTAAATTTCTCAAGATTTTAAGATTAAATTCTTTCCAAGAATTTGAGAGAACCTTCAACAAGAATTTGATGTCAAGACTTTTAGACAAGATTGTTCAAGAAGTTTAGATTAAATTCCACAAGATTTTTTTCGACATGAATTTAAATCTAACTCTACTAGAATTAAAGATTCAATTCGACAAGAATTCAGGAGAAAATTCTACAAAAATCTAAGACTAAATGCTGCAAGAAAATTAAGTTTCCAATTAAATGCTACAAGCATTTGTTTCCGTTCAATCAACGTGTTTAATTTGGTGTTTAAATTATGCTGGTTCAGCACTGCCAACTACCGGCATTGTACTAAAACTCGTTTTTTCTCTACATTTTGGAAAAACGCGGTGCGGTTGACCGGCAACCTGAAAAGTGCTCAATGTTTTCAGATGTATTTTTTGTCATTTTGAATTAACCAGAAACTTCAAGACGTGAACCAAATTATAATCCAAGGTAGTAAGGAAGTAGTCAGAAAAATGTTGGCCACATCCGGACATGTTCTCGATACCCCCGAGGATGTGGTCAGTTTCTTTTTGAACCAACACCCTCATGCGATACTTAAAACTACATCAGAATTCAAAAATAAGACCATTTTCGTTCATATTAAGTACTGAAGACCAGACATGGGAAATGTCGCGTTTGTCATAGACGCATGACAAGCTACATTACAAAATTGTCATCTTGGAAAATTTTCGTCAAACAACAATTTTTTGTCACACGACAAAATAAAGAATCCATCGAGTCACACTCTCGGCTCTGAGCTCAACACAACTTTATACCCCACGGTAAACTTCTTCGTGCATGTCCGAATGTATGGGTTCTGGCTCTTCTTTCGTCAACCAACCAAATTTAAAATGTCATTTAAAAAGGAGCATCATCTGCTAATACGGAGGTCAGATTTTAAGACCGGAAATAATGTTCATTCCCTTCAATACTAGTATTTCCGGAATCGGTATTTCATGATGGCAGCTTACGATTTTAGAAAAAAATGGGAAATACTGCCAAATACCTTTCAATATGGATTTTTTCGGAATCGGGATGACGTCTACAGACCGTAAATCGATGTCCAGCGCCATCTTGAAATCAAAGATGGCGGCTGATGGTTACAGAAACAGCGGAAAATACTGTTAAATACCCTTAAATATAGGTATTTTCAGAATCAGGGTGACGTGACAGGTGACAGACCAGATATCATTGTCCGACGTCATTTTTAAATCCAAGATGGTGGCTTCCAATTTCAGAAAAAAAAAATGGAAACACTGTCAAATGCCCTTCAATATGGAAATTTTCGAAGTCGAGGAAGTCACCTCCAGGGACCATAAATTTATGTCCAATGCCATTTTAAAATCCGAAATGTGCTAAATACTGTCAAATCCCTTCAATATAGGTATTTTCGGAACCAGGGTGTGTTGTCTAGATACCAGATATCATTGTCCAATGTGATTTTTAAATCCAAGATGGTGGCTTCTGATTTCAGAAAAAGTGGGAAATACTGTCAAATACTCTTCAATATTTATATTTTCGTAATCAAGGTGACGTCTTGACACCGTAAATCGATGTCCAACGCCATCTTGAAATCCAAAATGATGATTTTAGGTTGCAGAAAAAGAGAGAAATATCGGTCAATTTCCCTTCAATATGAGTATTTTTGGTAATGGAATGTCGTCTAGAGACCGAATATCGAAATCATCCCGGTTCTGAGTATGCCCATATTGTAGGGTATATGATATTTTTTTTTGAAACCGAGAGCCACCAAGTTGGATTCGATTTTCAGCATGAAAATATCCATATTCTAGGGTATTTGACAGTTTTTCTAAATTCAATGGCAGGCACCTGGATGAAAAAATGGCGATATACATTGATTTTCGGCACCTACAGGTTGACCCCGTTCCAAAAATACCCATATTGTAGGGTATTTTACAGTTTTCAGAATTTGAGAGCCGCTATATTGTATGACACAATGGCATCGGACACTGATATTCGGCATCTACATGTCTTTACCGAAAAAAATCCATGTTTTAGGGTATTTTACAGTTTTTTTGAAGTCAATGGCTGCCATCATGGATTCAAAAATGGCGTCAGACCTTGATTTTCGGGATGTACGCGTCGTACTTGTTCCGAAAATACCCATATTTGACAGTTTTTCCTGAATCTGAGAGCCACCATATTGGATTCCAAAATGGTATCAGACATATATTTTCGGTATGTACACGTCAAAAACGTTCCGAAAATACCCATATTGTAGGGTATGTGACAGTTTTCCAGAATATGAGAGCTGCCATTTTGGAATACAAAATGGCATCAGAAATAGATTTTCGGCATCTACCCGTCGTCCCCGTTCCAAAAATGCCTATATTGTAGGGTATTTTACCATTTTTTTTTCAGTCAACGGCCGCCATCTTGGATTCAAAAATAGCGTCAGACATCGATTTTCAGAATTTATGCGTCGCGCCCGTTCCGAATATACCAATACTATAGGGTATTCAACAGATTATCTGAAAACAATGGCCGCCATCTTGGATTCTGAAATGGCGTCGGACATCGATTTTCGGCATCAACACGTCGTCCTCTTTTCGAAAATACCTGTATTGTAGGGTATTTGACAACTTTTTTTCAGAATCTGAGAGCCGCCATCTTGGATTACAAAATGACGTAGGCCTGAAGTCAACGGCCGCCATATTGGATTACAAAATGGCATCAAACATCAATTTTTGGAATGTATGCGTCGTCCCCGTTCTGAAAATACTCATATTGTAGGGTATTTGACAGATTATTTGAAACAATGGCCGCCATCTTGATTCAAGCTACTTCGAGTTAGAGGTGAAATCCCGTCAAAATGATGTTTCCAAATGAGAGAAAGACTAGAATAAAAAATATTAGTCGTGAGACAGCCCAGTAGGTCAGTCTTTCAAGCAGAAGTTTGTTACATCGTGCTTGTCAGATGAGCGTTGACTTTTTTGTCGTCTTTGTTACATAGTTTATCGTCATGAGGTTCACAATTCCCAAGCCTGCTGAAGACCACGTTGGCCGGATCCGGACATGTTCCAGATACCCCCGGAGAAGTGAAACTTGGACCTACATCCTCATGTGACACATCAAACTACATAAGAATTCCAAAATAAGAACATTGGTGGTCATATTAAGTACGGAACACCACGCTGGCTCCGGGTGCTCCGGGGGAGTTTCATAAATTTCCCGAAATTTTCCCGAGGCCAATGGAACTTCCCTGGAGTCCTCAGAAATTCCCTGAAATTCTCTTCAGAACTACTCTGAAGGTCTCTTCAGAACTACTCTGAAGTTCTCCTCAGAACTACTCTGAAGCTCTCTTCAGAATTACATTGAACTTCTCCTCAAAACTACTCTGAAGTTCTCCCCAGAACTACTCTGAAGTTCTCCTCAGAACTACTCAGAAGTTCTCCTCAGAACTAAGATCTCGTCAGAACTACTCTGAAGTTCTCCTAAAACTACTGTAGATCTTCGATGAAGTTTTCAACATTTTCCTGAAATGTACGAAGTTGTTTAAATATTCTCTTGAATATCTTTGAACTTTCCCGATACTTGGGACCTCTCTAAAGATATCGTTACTCCCCAAAAATCTTTAAAATTCTCATTAAATTAGAGAATGGAACTTCAAGAACTTTCCTTAAGCTCTTGAAACTTTCCTAATGTTCATAATTCTTCTGCGAAGCCCTAATAAAAAAAATGCCATCGACGAATGATAACCCAAATGAAAGAACTATTCCATAAATGGTTTGCATGATACCCAAAACACGTCGTTAAGCAAAATAACCATTACACTTTTATTAAGGAGCTCCCGATACTTCCCCACGGTTCATGGTACTTCTTCAAAGTGCTCCCAAATTTTTTTTAAGCTGATGCAAATTCAGAGACGATCACTGAACTTTGGAAAATTTCAAAGCCCCTTGGATATTTTTACAAGATTGATCAATTATTCAGGAAATCTTCTACTGATCAACTATTCAATCAGATAATCCCTCACATATTTCTTCACTATGTCCGCTGAATCAGAGATTATTCAAATAACCATATTCAGTTATGGCGTCATTGTGTTCAGCCCTGTAAGCCATGTTTACATTATGCTTTTAGTAAAATTTGAGTACATTAGCCCCACCACACAAGCACAAGTGTAAACACTCCTTAAATGTTGGAATCCATTTGAACAGTTCGAAATCACTTCAGAAAGTACTGAATCGCTTCAGAAAAGTTTAGACTTTCTTCGGAACGTACAGAATCACTTCAGAAATGTTTCCGATCACTTCGGAAAGTACTGAAAAACCTCACAAGTGTTTTGAATCACTTTGGAATGTGTAGTATCACTTCAGAAAATATTAGCATCACTTATGGTGGTACCGACTCTAGTTTTTAACTAGTTCGGAAAGTAATTAATCACCTTAGAATTGTTCGGATTTACTTAGGAGAGGTAAATCGTAATGAAATTAAAAATAATAAATCTTTTAATAATGAGCAGGACTATCGGACAAATATGTCCTAAGTGAATCAAAATTGCTGTTCGATGAAACAAGTGCAAGATGTGCAATTGCTCAAATATGGTTAAAACAAAAAATTAAATTTTTAAGATAAATAAAATCCAAAATCCACTCACCCGCACTGCGCCAGTTGATGAGCTTCTGGTTCCGCAGCTCGTCTGTCATCGGAATGTAGACCACCTGGGTCGTTTCCCGGGACCAGGACGGAAAGGCGTCGATCCGTGCCAGACACCTGAGCGTCAGCTTACCCTTGATCTTGCCCAGCCGGGTTTCGTCGATGTGAAATCGTATCTCCAGCGTACGGTACCGCAGGATGAAGCCATCGTTCTCGATGGTGGTTTCCTGCTGCGGTTGCAGATAATCCGAGGGAACCTGCGGGAAAGAAAAACATCAGAAAAAGACCAGTTAGCAAGAAGGCCTCCCTCGTGGGAGGGCTCGAAACTTACAATCCGCTCGTCGATGAACCAGTACAGCCGAGCCGGTGGGCTGGACATGTCCGAGGAACAGTTGGCCACCACGAAATCCTCCAGGGCGTAGTTGTGCTGCAAACCGTTGATGATGGGATCGTACTGGGGCAGCACTGTTCGGGGCAAAGAAATCCAGTAGTGAAAAATTAGCCAATTAGTAACCCTCCGGTGGGGTGTTCTGTTGCTGATTTGACGAAACTGGGTAGGGCTGATCAGAAACTCATCTCTTTTGTTTGAACATAAAAGGGAAATGCTTCGGTGGCAAATTGATTACTATTAATTATCGATGGACTGCTACGAGAGCGACCTGTGCACACTTGAGCGCAGACAGACTCTGATGGATCCACCACCACCACCATCAGGGAAAAAGTTCCCGGGAATCAATCAATTGTATTGCTGCTGCCCGTCCCTCGTCTATCCGAACCCGACTTATTATTCGCTGGAAGGTTCCAGGGGGGGCCAAGAGGGCAAAGTTATGAGAGTGAGAGCAAAGTTTGCTCGGTGAATTCAGCTGCGTCTAATTAATCTTCTCAGATCTTCCTAATGAGCTAGACGGGGTCGACTTTCGGGTTTTGCAGATGGGGGATGGAATGTAAATTTCTTAAGGATGGTTTTCTTTGCACGAGGGGAGGGGGATAATGACGACGGACGTTTCTGAAGCGCTATGAAATTCCAGACGCACCTGTGGCTCTTTACGGCGAGATTTTGAAGCGCTGGCCATGTTTAGAAGTATGGAGAAAAGGTATTAATCAGCACTGAATTCGGATGCCATAGACGCTATGTATACGGAAAGTTGGAAAGCTGGGTGGATAAATTAAAGATTATCAACAAGACTACACGGCCGTTGAAAGTATGAGTCAAGTTGACTCAATCTCTTTTTATCCCATACAAATTTTACTCAGTTTAGTTAAAAATTGAGTTACTCAGTGCAATTTACCATGTGGAAGTTTGTGCTCAAAATACATGATTAAGTGAGCGATTTAACATGCTATAATATTCGTAGTCCAGAATAATTTCGATTTTCTAAAATTTAAGAAACGTATTTTGGTTTTAAAGAGGGGTTTTTTGGGAATGAAAATGACTTCTAGCCGACAGGAAATTATGGTTGATGCCATTTTGAAATCAAAAATAGCAGCTTAAAATTTTCTAAATTCAACTATGGTGACTTCCGGCTTTATGTAAACTGCCAAAAACTCTACTAGGTGAAATGGATGTAATGTCGGCCCAAATGCCCCTAATTTGGGCCCATACATAAATTCAGAAATCGACTATATTTTCAATCAGGGGTTGAATCAGTTGACGTTTTTTACTAAAGCCCTACAGTAAAAGTATGGACGACTGTCACCACAAAACTGGAAAAAGCTGTTCCAATCGAGCAAAGCGGTGCATTTTGACGGTTCGATTGGAACAACTTTTGACGGACGTCCATACTTTTACTGTAGGGCTTTATTTTTTACTACACTCGCTTCGTTGTCGTGCGCGAAAGTCTGTTTGTATTCGAACACTCATGCTCTACCGTCGTCTCTCTCACACAACACGAGCGGTAGAATAACATTCGAGCTAAAAGAAAATTATCAAATGACATGTGTGATTTCGTTGTAATTCCTCAATTTGGTGTAAATCAAACCATTTCTGATCAGAAATATTATTGCTAGGACATCATTGCTTACTGTTTTCAGAATTCACACAAGCACACCATCAGCAGCTCTTATTATGAGAAAAACCAAAATACATACATTCGTGACGGTCTTCGGCGACAGTGTCGGAGGCAAAGGTATTCAATTATCACAGAAAATGTGTCGACTACCGTGACCGCTTACAAGACTGTTTTCAATAGCGACCAAAGTTGATAAATAGCAGATTTTAAGCGATGATTGGGCAATCTTAGATCCATAGGCCAACATTAGAGTAATTTCCCTTATATGCTTTGAGTCAAAGCCTTTGACTAATTATGTTTGTATTTCTCCATGCGTGAAGTTATCGATTTACATAGTTGAAGATGCTTAACGTCAGATATCAGACTTAAAGTGGTAATTTTATAATATAGATGAGCAGATGAAAGTATTGAGTTGATAGTTCCGTTAGAGTTCCGTCAGTGTTAAAATGGTATATAGAGAGTAGAAAGCGAGCAAAGGTCAATTTTGAGAATGGCACGAATCGGGTTGATCATCTCCTTTGGCAAACTCCCCTGTTGGGGAGGGATGATGAAGGGTATCTCCCCCACCATCACTGGCAAAAGAGATGATCGCCACAGACAGTTCTATCGATTGTTTCACACTTAAGTCGTCCTCTAACGTAAGCATCTAGTCGATCGGTTTGGAAAATTGAAGCTATTACATGCAGCACATACAGTGGTAGAGGCAATAATAGCATGCCTACCAAGCGGCCACCTTAGACTTCCGAAGATTGACCTCCCCAAGTTCAACGGAAATTTTTTGAAGTGGGTGTCGTTTTCAGGCAACTTCACGTCACTTCTATGGTGCATTCGATATCGTAGGTGAGGCAAGCAAGCCATTCAACAACGTGGACATCGAGGCCGTGTGGGACTCCCTGCTAGAAAGGTATGATAAGCGTAGATTTTTGAAAAACCAGCTTCTCCGAAGTCTCCATGACTTCCCATCGTTGAAGAGAGAATCCGCCAACGAGTTACACGAGCTCGTGGACGAGTTCTAGTGGCACGTGAAAACCCTAGCCAGGTTGGATGAATCCGTCAAGCATTGGGACACAGCCCTCGTAAACATCCTGTCCTACATGCTCGATCCAGCTACGCTTCGTGCGTGGGAAGAAAAGACCAGCCAGCAAGACGACGTCAAGTACAACGACCTTGTTGAATTCCTGTACCAGCGTGTACGAATCCTGAAATCCGTAGCATTCGATCTGCTGCAATGCTCCTAGCCGGCTAAAGCAAAGGTGGCCGGCAACTTTCCTCCTCCAAAGAAATACATTCAACCCATGGTTGCTGCCACAACCCAAGGTGATGGACTTTCGTGTCTGCTGTTCAACATCGCGTTAGAAGGTGTGATCAGAAGAGCTGGGATAGACACGAGTGGCACGATATTCAGGAAGTCCATCCAGCTCCTTGGCATCGCCGATGACATTGAAATTATGGCACGGAACTTTGAGATGATGGCGGAAACGTACATCAGACTGAAGGCTGAAGCTAGGTGGATTGGACTTGCCATCAACGCATCGAAGACAAAATACATGAAAGGAAGAGGTTCTAGGGAAGACAATGTTAGCCTCCCACCCCGAGTTCAGATTGAAGGTGACGAAATCGAAGTGGTCGATGAGTTCGTGTATTTGGGCTCACTGGTGACCGCCGAAAATGATATCAGCAGAGAAATTCAAAGACGCATTATGGCAGGGAATCGTGCCTACTTTGGACTCCGAAGGACGCTTCAGTCGAATACAATTCGCCGCCGCACGAATTTGACTGTCTACAAGACGCTGATTAGACCGGTGGTCCTCTACGGCCACGAGACCTGGACTATGCTCGTGGAGGACCAACGCGCCCTTGGTGTTTTCGAACGGAAGGTGTTGCGTACCATCTACGGTGGAGTGCAGATGGATGACGGAACGTGGAGGAGGCGAATGAACCACGAATTGCACCAGCTGTTGGGAGAACCATCCATCGTCCACATTGCAAAAATTGGGCGACTACGGTGGGCTGGGCACGTCGTAAGAATGCCGCACGACGACCCAGTGACAATGGTTCTATAAAGTGACCCAGCAGGAACAAGAAGAAGAGGCGCGCAGCGGGCAAGGTGGATCGACCAAGTAGAAGGTGACCTGCGGACCCTTCGCAGACTACGAGGCTGGCGAACTGTGGCCATGGATCGAGTAGAATGGAGACGACTTCTTCGGACAGCAGAGGACAACAAGGCCTTAGTCTGATTGGTAAGGTAAGTATGGTTGCTGCCAACGCTGGCGCTGCTGCATCAGATAGCAGGTCAAACTTTCCTTCTTGTTTCGCTTGTCAGAACGATATTTCCTCTTCCAGTGACAAGCTTTCGACAGATTGCCCATCAGCCAGCGGAGAAAGCTGGTATCCCAACGAAAGCTGTGTTGGAATTGCTTCTGAACTTTTTATCATGCCAGAAACTGCTCCCCGAAGTTCTCCTGCCAAACCTGTCGAGAACGGCACCACACTTTGCTGCACGATTCATCCCAGTCTGGTAAGAGTTTTTCGACCCCAGCCATGATGTCAAATTCCCATGAAACGGCGCAAGTTCCACCCATTTTGGATACCCAGGATCGCCTACCTCATCCCAACAAACAAGCATGTCGGTTCAGTCCCACGCCAGTACGGTTCTCCTTGAAACAGTCGTTTTCCAAATCGTCGACGATCACGGACATGTTTTCCAAGCCCACTTCGATGTCACATTTCATGACAAAGGATCTTGCGAATCTGCCCTCCAGCTCCCAATCCAAGGTTGATGTGTCCGTAGCTGGAATCGGACAATCCCACCGGAATTTTTTTCTCTACGGAGCTCCAACTCCTCGTGATCGAGCACCCCACTGCTGATTTACCCACCATGTACGTGCTGATAACTTCGTGGAACCTTTCGAACGTGCAGTTAGCTGATGCTGAGTTTCGAATTTCCAACAAGATCGACTTAGTCATCGTTGGTGAAGCGTATTGGGACCTAAACACTGGTAAGAAACTCGATCTAGCTCCAGGCCTACCCCACATCATCGAGACCGTACTTTGGTTGGACATTCTGCAGTTCAACTTCTCAAGATTCCTCTAACTCGATGGTATGCTAAATGCCTAGCATTGATGCACTGCTAGATGCGACTCTCCAAAGGATTTCAGAGTTTGCGACGATTCCGAACCAATCCGTTCATTGCGCTACCGAGAAGGCCTGGGAAGAACTCTACGTGGCAACCACACCCTCGATCCTAGGTATTTCGCCAACCGAAAACGGACAACCCGGAAGCTGTTTTGGGAAATTCAGAATCCATTGCCGAACGCCGACTCGAGCGTGATCACAAAATCCTCTTACCACCAATTCATGGAGGAATATGAGCGTCTCGGCCACATGGTTTATTCAACGAACCTGAGGACAACACGATACCGCACTGCTACCTTCCGCATTATCCCGTATTCAAG